CGACGCCCGCCGCGCCCCGTTTGGCGCCGCCCCCTCCATCCCCTTGGCACCGCCCCCCGCCCCGTTGCGCCCTTTTTGGGATGTTCCTGATTCTTTTCTTTTTTAACCCAGGGAATTAGAAGTTGGTGGGTTTAGCCGTAGGAATCATGATTGACTTGAGTGACCAAAAAACGCATTTTCCCCTCAAAAAATCCCATATAGGGCTGTATAGACTCCTATAGACCCGTTTCCCACCCGAAAAAACCCACATTTTTTTCCCCAAAACCCATATCCCCCCCTCAAAAAAGGGGATTCCCCCTGGATCCCGCGGTGGGTTGTGGCATCCCTGGGTACCACACTGGGATGCAGCATTCCTGGGTCCTGCCTTGGGATGCAGCAGCTCCCTGGATCCCACATAGGAACGCAGCATCCCTGGGTACCACATTGGGATGGGGCAGCTTCCCGGATCCTGCGTTGGGATGCAGCAGCTCCCAGAATCCTGCATAGGAATGCTGCATCCCTGGATGCCCCCTTGGGATGTGCCAGCTCCCTGGATCCCACATAGGAATGCAGCATCCACAGGTACCACATTGGGATGCAGCGTCTTCCCAGATCCTGTGTTGGGATGCAGCAGTTCCCAGAATCCTGCATAGGAATGCTGCATCCCTGGGTACCATATTGGGATGCAGCAGCTTCCTGGATCCCACCTAGGAATGCGGCATCCCTAGGTCCCCCGTTGGGATGTGCCAGCTCCCAGGATCCTGCATAGGAATGCAGCATCCATGGGTACCACGCTGGGATGCAGCATCTTCCCAGATCCCACATAGGAATGCAGCATTCCTAGGTCTCCCGTTGGGATGCAGCAGCTCCCTGGATCCCACATAGGAATGCAGCATCCCTAGGTCCCCCGTTGGGATGCAGCAGCTCCCTGGATCCCACATAGGAATGCGGCATCCATGGGTACCACATTGGGATGCAGCAGCTTCCCGGATCCCGCATAGGAATGCAGCATCCCTAGGTCCCCCGTTGGGATGTGCCAGCTTCCTGAATCCCACATAGGAATGCAGCATCCCTGGGTACCGCATTGGGATGCAACAGCTTCCTGGATCCCCCATAGGAATGCAGCATCCCTATGTCCCGTGCTGGATACAGCAGCTTCCCGGATCCTGCATAGGAATGCAGCATCCCTGAGTCCCACATTGGGATGTGGCAGCTCCCAGGATCCTGCATTGGGATGTGCCAGCTCCCAGGATTCCACATAGGAATGCGGCATCCCTAGGTCCCGTGCTGGGATGTAGCAGCTCCCAGGATTCCACATAGGAATGTGACATCCGTATGTCCCGTGCTGGGATGCAGCAGCTCCCAGGGTCCTGTATCCACCTGCGGCATCAGCAACTCCCACCCATATCCCGCGATCCCACTCTCCGGCACGGCTGTCATTCCCGCTGCTCCGCATATCCCGCTCGGATCCAGGTGTTTCCCAGACCCGCAGCCCTTCGGCCCTGGCCTCTTCTTCCTCCCGAGTGCCCAGAACCCTTGGCACTGAGCTAAGGGCAGTGAATGATTAATGATTAATTAATGATTAACCGCCACGCGCCCGTTAATCAATGATCATTAATCAAATATTAAGCCCGGGAGCAATTAATAAACAATGGGGAACTGATGAACAAAGGGCAATTAGCGCCCATTGCATAAGCCCTGCCCTGTGATTAAGGGCCTGGTGCAATTAGCAGAAGGTCAATTAGTGTCAGCTGGTCCCGTTAGCCCCTGGGACCATGGTCCGTTTGCAGCCCCTTTTCCAACCCCTTTTCCAGTCCCTTTTCCAGCCTCTTTCCAGCCCCTTTTCCGGTCTGTTTGCAGCCCCTTTTCCAACCCCTTTTCCAGTCCCTTTTCCAGCCTCTTTCCAACCCCTTTTCCGGTCTGTTTGCAGCCCCTTTTCCAACCCCTTTTCCAGCCCCTTTTCCAACCACCTTTCCAGTTCCTTTTCCAGTCTCTTTCCAACCCCTTTTCCAGCCTGTTTGCGGCCCCTTTTCCAACCCCTTTCCTAGCCTTTTTGCAGCCCCCTTTTCCAGCTCCTTTTCCAACCCCTTTTCCAGTCCCTTTTCCAGCTTCTTTCCAACCCCTTTTCCAGTCTGTGAACCCTTTTCCAACCCCTTTTCCAGCACCTTTCCCAGCCTGTTTGCGGCCCCTTTTCCAACCCCTTTTCCAGTCTGTTTGTGGCCCCTTTTCCAACCCCTTTTCCAGCCTCTTTGCAACCCCTTTTCCAGTCTCTTTGCAACCCCTTTTCCAGTCTGTTTGTGGCCTCTTTTCCAACCCTTTTCCCAGCCCCTTTTCCAACCCTGTTTGCAACCCCTTTTCCAGCCCCTTTCCCAGCCTGTTTGCAGCCCCTTTTCCAACCCTTTTTCCAGTCCCTTTTCCAGCCTGTTGTGACCCCTTTTCCAACCCTTTTTCCAGCCTGTTTGCAGCCTTTTTTCCAACCCGTTTACAGCCCCTTTTCCAACCCCTTTTCCAGGCCCGGAGCCTCCGCCTGCCCCGTCGGTCACACCGGGATCATTGGGAGCAGCCGAGACCGACGTCCCCGGGCGCCGCTCCCACCCCCGTCG